TTTTATGTCACTGTTGTATGTCACTACCAGATTTTTATGTCACTTTTTGGAATGTCACTACTGATTTTTACGTCACTTTTAGATGTCATTGTACCGGAAAACGCGTCACTACCAAATTTTTTCGACGAATATTAATTTTCCCCATCAAAATTTTCGCCAGAAAGCATCAACCCGCCGCCTCGACACCGCCGTCATTGCGTGAGACAGCCTACAGCCCCTTACTCCAACCCCAGCCTCCTCCACTGCTACCCCAGCCTCCTCCACTGCTACCCCAGCCCCCTCCCCTGAACCCCAGCCCCTTCCCCTGCACTCGCCCCCTCCTATCCTCAGATCCCCTCCCAGCCTCCCAACACGTATTTCTCCATGTAAATTAGTACATACATGTCTATACATATAAGTAATATAACCCCAAAAAATGATACGAGTAATTCATTAAATAAAAGTTCAAGTCATGTCCAAAGGTAATCCCAGGAACAAGACTCTCACAGACAAAAGCCATTCCAAGTTTCCAACTACGAGCCGTTGGGGAAGATAGACCGGGTGGCGCTGTGGCAGTGCTATGCATCAATTTCAGTGATTGTTTCCATTATGCTTTGGCAGACTGTAGGAGAAAACCTGGAAAAGGGAAATTAAGTCCTTCCTGGACTCGGAGTATCTGGAATTTCAATTCGATCGAACTGAAATTGAACTGGGGGAAGGGCCTCTTACATCCGAGCATCCCTGCCTTCGCCGCATTCCAAAGCCTGATCGAAATCTAGACCGATGAAGGGAGAAGAAGATGAAAGGTCGCCGATGACGACGACACGAAGCACACCAGGCGGCGGTGGAAGCGAGCGGCGGAGGAAACAAATCGAATGGAAAGCAGACCAGATCTATTCTTCCAGCTTCTGGAATGGAAAGGGGGGTTACGAACGAGGTCACGACGACCCCAGGTTTGGCCGGCCTAGCGAAGATGGCGGTGTTGCAGGTACATGCGATGGAGATGTTGTGGATCGGAGTTCCAAGTTCGCTGGATGCTTCACCGTTGGTTCGATGATTCTTCGCTGGGAGTGAAGATGGATGACTTTCTCCGGGGAAGATGGGACGTGAGAGATACTGCTCCATATGTTTTAAAAATGAGTCATATTTCTAGAAAATGTAAAAATTGTTATATTTTTGGAAATGCAAACTCTAGTAGTAATATAGAGGTCATTTATTTTTATATATATACGTAACGTCCAAAATTAAGTTTAATTTTGTTTTAATTTTTAAAACAAATTTTATTAGTTTTTACTGTTATAGCACAAAATACTTATAGAATACTGTAATTTAATGAGAAATTTACCCCCTGTATTACTAAAAGTCATTCTCTTTCCCATTATATGACTTAGGGCATCCTCATTAGGAGGATTATTATGAGATTAAATTAGTGACATGACAGTTTTTAAAGAGAATTATCAATGAGTGACATAGATTATTTAATAGGATTATTTGCTACAATAATCTGGGATCAAAATATGAATCCGGATTATTTTAAGATTATTTGAAAAATATATGTAATAGAGATAAATGCAGGACCGAGAAAAAACAGATTATTTGAAGATGATGATTGAGAGACATAAACGAATTTTAAGATTATTTTATAATTAATTACATAACAATATTTAAATGGTAAGAATCATATAAAAAATTGATTATTAGAGATCATGAATGGAGATACTCTTACTACCTGTATGTTTTTTTCCTAATATGATGATACATGTCATCACAGTCATACCATCCGCCCCTTTCTTTAGTTTTTCATTCCATTGTTGCCCTTATACGGTAGACATATTGAAGAATTAATAGGTTCCATACTTTATGCATATTCCTAACACAATTATTCTGCATTTATTAAGGATCCCACTAAAACAGGTGACTGAATTTACTGGTTTTAAGCATGCTACCCGTTCCATTCTCTCTTCTGATTATAATCATTATACCCGTCCTCCAACATCTTTAGGCGTCGATCACCATATGTAGCCTGCACATCCTTGAAGAAGTTGCCGGCGGAAGAAGAAGAGTGCAAACATGGGAAGGTCAGAACTTTTGCAGAAGAAGACTTCATCGTAAAAATAAAAAAGAAAAGATGTAATTTCATAGTTTATGCGTTATTTACATTCTATTTTGTTGTTTTTTGAAGTCGTTGACGATTATGAATCGGAGGGAGGTATAGACGAAGCAACACAACACAATCCTCCGGCGATGTTCCACTCCATCAATCTTTATGTAACAACGAGGATCAAGATGGTGATGAAGAGTGAAAATATCCAGCTAGTAATGATAATCACCACGATCACGTGATTTCGGACCTTTGATTATCCATGGTGTTAATGATTCATCGTGCATATGTTTAATAAGAGATGAATTTCGGTTCATTGTTACTAATATACGTAGTACTTATCTAATTTAATGTTGAGTTCTTTATGGTTATTGTTAATGCAAAAAAATAGTGTAATGATTTTTTCATTTAGTGTAATAAATGTTTTCATTTGGTGCAATGTTTTTTTTGTGCTACATAAACATCATGTGGCCATTAAATCAAGATTGTTTTTAGTTTGATGAGTGTATAACTGATAGTTTATATAATGCACTGAATTCCAATGTACTCCTGATAATTTATGTAATGCACTGAATTTATGGAATGAAGACGATTTTTTTCATTTAGTGCAATGAATTAGTTCATTCAGTGCAATGTAATGCACTTATTGTCCACGTTAATGCATTACATAAACAATCAATGATGCTTGAATTACTCACACACTCAATCTTTTTAATCACCATGCTTGTTACTGAACTAATAAGAAAAATGTAATAAAAATTAATTTACTGCATGTATTTTATAAGTTAAATAATTGCACAACACAATCCACAAAATATAAGTTAAATACCACACTATTCAATGCCGTATATTAATGCAATATAGTAATACCATAATTGAAAATCACTACACTAAAAGCATGACCAGTTTGTGCTCTTTCTATTCCCTGTTTGTGCTCTTTCTATAGAAACAAAAAGAAAGTCGTCATTTCGTCGGACCTCTGATTCAATTCTCATATAGTTTGTGCTCTTTCTATTCCCTGTTTTGCTTTGGGGGGCGGGGGGACGATTATGAGTGCTTAAATCATTCATTTTGGATTACTTCCTCTCCATGTTTAATTATGCATTTATGGGAGTTAGGATTCTTTACTATCCTAAAACCCACTATAGGAACGTATGTTAAGGTCAATTTTGTCTTTCAATTCTCCTTAATATTACGGATGTAATTGTTTCTCTCATTAAAGTCATATGTTGGGAAAAAACATACTTGGTCATATTTGGGGAATTGTAATGAGTCTTAGTCATATATAGGTATGTATCCCTAATTTAATACTAGTGTACGTATTACTTATATTATTACCCGAAATAGGACAGTTAGAAAATTCTAAAATAGGATTGCCATATTTTTATTCCCAAAATAGAACTAATTAATGTCATGTTTTGACAGTACCAGACTTCAAACATGTCAGTATTTTCTAAGCATGACAGTAGTTAGCAGTGGAGGACCTAGGAGGGGCCTAGGGGGGCAAGTGCCCCCGCTTTTGATCAGGAATTTCACTACTAGTATTTAGAGTAAAATTAATGCCCCCGCTTGCGGTCAAGAATTTCACTACTACTAGTTCGGGTAAAATTAGTGTCCCAACCCGTACATAAAATTATCAATATTAGATAATTAAGATACTAAAATGTTACGGTTATATAAATTAAAAGTTTATACACAATATTTAAATTTGAGCTGAATTAAAATAAAAGGTCTCAAAAAGGAGAAGAAAATAGTTAAGTTTTTTTTCTAGAAAATAGTTAAGGGTTGAAAACCCAAAAAGTTAAAATATAAACAGTAACCAATTCAAATTAATGTGATGCCAACTTAAAGTAATCTAAAACAAGTAAAAGTTTAAAAACAAAATCCACTAATAACTCACTATTACTCTACAAGGCAAAAGGGGGAAAACTTCAAAAATCTAAACCCTCACGGACGTTTACACTCTGGCTTCTTTCTGGAGCTTGCCGCTGCCTTGCTAAACTACCTCTGCAGGGCTCGCTTCTTCATTTGTATTTTGTAAGTTTCTTTAGATGATTATCTTACAGATTGCTTGATGTGCTATATCGAGAGAGATGTTTTTAAAAGTATTGCTAATGAAACTATTATGCAACATTTTCAGAATATGAAAACTCGTAGTATTGATTACCAAAGTTGTAGAAATGAACTATATAATATGTAATCAACTACCCCGTATAATTTATGCTATTGCCTTACTTTTTACCATCTTTATTACATCTGAAAATTTTATTATAGAGTAATTTTAGTGTCTAGTGTGCTCCTGCTCTGACAAATCTTTGGGTCCGCCACTGATAATTAGTCATATTTTGGGAATAAAAAACATGACAGTCTTATTTTGAAATTTGAAACTGATTTAGTCCTATTTCAGGAACTTTCCCATTATATTATACTACATATATCTTAAATAGGGAGTATATATTATTGGTCAAACCTAAAATATGAATACAAGAGGGGCATACATATAGTCCCCCAATTGCATTGCCGATGTACCTCTATGGTGAATCCCTTTTTTTACAAAGTGTACGGTCAACCCATGTCACAAGTTTTTTTTTTGAAGAACCCATGTCATAAGTTAATACCACCCTCCCTATCTATTAGTTATATTTATACACTCTACTTTGACTATATTTTAGTTATTAATATATGTGAATCATTTATTTTTTGAAACAAATTGTTGAATTCATCTCATTATTCCAAAGTTTCATAAGCTGATTTTTAATTTTTTTTACTATAATAAAAAATAATACTAGTATATAATAACAGTAAGAGTTGTGTGTTGGCAACAAGCATGAAAAAGGAAATGTTGCAACTAAAAAAAATAAAAGAAGTATAAAACTATGTGATTATGTATATATACATTCGTAACACACAGAGTATATAACAATGATGATGATAATTAATGATAATAATAATGATAAATAACAACAAGTTGATAATAATAATAATAGTGTTGATGGGGTTAAAACTATATATATTTTCCACTCAATCCATGATATATACCTAACTAATTTGTAGAATACGTACGTACATGCAACTTGGATCATTATACATAGGAGAATTTCTGTAGCTAGCTAGCTTGGCTAGATGTGGGTAATTAGGTTGGGTGGCTAACAGATTTGGTTGGCATAAGCATTAGTATTGATTTCCTCCAATTGCAAGGTGTGGTGAAGAGTCCTTCGGTTCATCTCAGCGTACATTTCCTCGATCATTGGTTTCCACAGACGAACTCTTGCATTTATAAACCAATTCGACACCTGTTTTACCCAACACAACCCGTTATATATATTAATGATCCACAAACCAAACAAACAAAACCTACCTAGCTAGCTACACATAGTTTAATTAATTATATAGGTGTATGACTTATTAGAATCTTTTTATGGATTTTTCTGATCTACCTGGCCTGTTTTGGTTTGATTGTGTGTGGTTTGTTTATGGTCTAATTTGGGCAAATTTTTTTATACATGTCATATGTGTATTTTAGTACGGAGTATTCCCAAGTGAAAAGATCTAAAGGTACACGCTTTGTGTACACACTCGTGTCTGTGTAGGCGTTTTTTTGTCTGGAATGGACAAAAAAAGCGCCTACACAAACACGCAATTGTGTACCCCAAGTCCAATTCATATATGTAAGAGTACCTGACTCCTTGTTAGTCCACTCTTTACCGCAAGCAAGTGCTTCTCTGTGTCCTTTGGGTACCTGACACATCCAAACACGCAATTGATTAAGAAGAACATAGATCTTAGTAATAACTATAGACGGAATAGCATATATTAGTCACCCTATATGCATCAATTTGAATAATACGAGCACATGATTGCACAAAATATGTCACAACATCAAAGCATGTTGGCCGTATTCACTTGGGTTAATGAAAAAAAATCATCTCATCCACATAATTTAGAGGCGTGTTTCTAATCTAATAGAGTAAGGATGTTTTTACTTGAACGGTAATTTGCTGGTCTGGTCTGGTCTGATCTGATCTGGTCTGGTCTGGTCTCTTTGTATTTTTATAACTATCCAAGTCTGGTCTGGTCTGAACTGGTCTGGTCTGATCTGGGACGAATTACGGTCCAAGTAAAAACATGTTAAAGGCTCAATTTAGTCATACCATGCGTCATCTTCTTCTCAATTTTAATTTGTCAAACAATTAAGTATCTATATTTTGCTCAAATTAATTAAGAACATTTCGTATTGTAATGCCCATATTGCATCCAAACTACAATATTACATAGTTACGTACGGACGTTGGACATGAAGTTGAGATTGATATGGGTATAAATTCAGTGAAATGATGATACAATTAATACACTCAATTTTATTTCAGATGTTTATCTAGGGAAAAAGTATATTACGGGACAATATGTAAGAAAGCAAGATAATAGTATAAAACATTGTCACTCTTTTTGTACTCCCTTTCGGTCTGAATTGTCTTCCAACTTTCTCTTTTCGTCGATATCAAAATAATTTTCTCCTTCCTTTTTGATGATTTAAAGAATTTATGATTTACGCCATTTCTTATCAATTCTTACTCATTATTTCTCTCTGATACACGATTCTCACTTTTTTAATTCACATGTGACTGGATTTGGATTCCGGAGGATTTTAATTTCCCCAATTCGGATTCCGGAGGATTTTAATGGAGTTTAGAATTTCGTCAGAATTCAGATGTACTGGATTTGGATTTCTGTGGAATCAATGAAAATAAAAGTGTCCTCAAACGTTACGTGAATTTCTGTTATTACTTATTTGCACGGATTATAATGAATTTTGATGAATTTCTATATACAAAAAGAATCTACCACAATCTTGTAACTCATTTCCTCTCGATAAGCTATAGTTGACTTATAGTCAAGGGATATTCTGAATCAATACGTATAGCTAATTAACTCGGTATATTTTAAAGAAAACTACGGAGTATAATTTTTGTACTTTATAGTTTTTTTTTACTTTATAGGGTTCTTTTAACAAAAAGAGATTTATGTACCACTTTCATATTATAAATAACATTGGACTCCGTATAAAAGTATTATGGATGTTTTTACTTGGACTATAATTTGCTGGTCTGGTCTGGTCTGAACTGGTCTGGTCTGGTTTCTTTGTATTTTTATAAGGTTGTTTTTACTTGGACTGTAATTCATCCTAGACCACACCAGACCAGACCAGTTCAGACCAGACAAGACCAGACTTGGATAGTTATAAAAATACAATGAAATCAGACCAGATCAGACCAGATCAGACCAGACCAGACCAGATCAGAGCAGACCAGACCAGACCAGACCAGCAAATTACAGTCCAAGTAAAAATATCCTAACTATCCAAGTTTAGTCTGGTCTGAATTGGTCTGGTATGGGAGGAATTACAATCAAGTAAAACATCCATACTCTATATGTACATAATCAAAGTTCAACATTATTGACTAAAAAGTCAAATATGGTTTAAAATACATTGGGAGAGAGAGCTTACGGGTGAAGAAAGTTTTGAAACATCCAAGCCCTCAAAACAGCGACGGATCTTTCGGGCAGTCCTCTTTGGGGTCTCCACAAGTGATTCTGCTGCTGCTCCTTCTTCCTCAGCTGCTGAACAGCCCACTGCTTCTGGATAAGAGACGCCTCTAGCGACCGCTCCTCCTCCGTCACGCCGCCGCCGCCGTGGTTGCTCGAACTGTCACACTGTTCTCCCACGGCGAGAATAAAATTCCCAATTCTCTCCCTGAGGTTTTTGTACCAGAAAGACGCGGCTTGAAGAGCGAAATGAGGGCGGCGCCGTGAAGTAGTAGTAGCAGCAGTAGTGGGATGATCAGTTGCAGCATGGAATGCTGAAACCACCGTATGCAGCTCCTCCAAGCACTGGCTGTACCGATCATCTACCTGCCTCAGCTCCATATACATTCCGGCATAATGTATAATAATATATAAAAACAACTATTAATAATTAATAATAATATAATAATAATGAATCTGCTTAAATAAATACAACATTTTCTACTTTACATCATTCACAAATTCTACTTTGACTATATTTTACTTATTAATGAATTTATACATATTTTGAAAAAAAGAGTGTTAAATTTGTTTCATTATAAATTTTTGAAATCTAATTTTTTAATTTTTTTAATAATATAGAATTAAATATTTTAATGGTCAAAGTTGTGCCTCGATAAATATGGAAAGTTGATTGTTATATTTATTTAAGAAAAATGGAACTTATTTTTTTTGCAATTAGAAAAATGGAACTTATATTACTCGTAACAATATTAAAATCAAAACACGCATAATTAAGATATTTTTCAACTTTTATCCTGCATTTTTTAGCTTTTCATAACATTTGTGTTATTGGGTCTACTTTTGGTACATGTACTTCGTATTTTAATGCTTCCAATTTCCGAACACTTATCAGATTGTTTCTGTAGTTGGGAGTACAATTTTTGGGTGTCCATATCTAGCTTAACTGTACTAATATTACTTCCCAATTTAGATGTTTTACTTTGATTGCATTTTACTACTTATTTAATAATGTATTTATTTATTTATTTTCAGAAACTATTTTTTTTTACTAAAAGAGCATTATACTAGTATATATTAATGATCAAAGTTGATTAGTGTCAAATATGAAAAATTGATTATTGCATTTATTTCAGAACGAAGTAAGTAAAAAGTAATCTTCAAAAAAACCACTCGTAACAAAAAGTATATAAAATGTTTCTACTGGATTTCCCCCCAAATTTCCTGTCTTATTTCCAAAATAAGTACGTAGTATCATGTATTCATAAATTTAATTATTCTCTCTGGTCCTAAATAAAGTTCAGTGTTTGACTTCGCACAAATTAAGAAAATAAATTTGACTTTACTGTAGAGTAAATTGTTGTGACACTGTTTGACACTGTTTGGCACTGTTTGGTATTGTTTGGTATTGTTTCGATGTAGATAATTTGCCAAATAAAGAAAGGAGAAGAAGTGTGAACTTTATTTTGGACCGGCCCTAAAAGGAAAGTGTGAAATTTATTTAGGAGCGAAAAGAGTATACTTCTTTCTTAATTTTGAAGATTCGGGTAACAGACCCTTTCAGCCAGAATTTTATCAAGTGAGTGCGAGGATCATATACACATTTCAAAAATGGATATCTTGATTGATTCAAATAATAATTTAATCATTTGTTTATATTAAAATTTTCCAATTGTAATATTTCAATTGGTTCACGTTAATAAGATATGATACATATTGGGAGTACCATATAATTTGAAATATTTCAAATAGCTATTGAGAGTATCGTATATTGCAATAGAATCAACTAATTAATTAACTCAAATTTAACAATACTAAACGGAATATGCATAATTAGTAGTACAGTTTATTATGATACAATTAAGTTGAGAAATCGTACCGCTTGTAAGAGAGCGAGGAGATGCTTGCGCTTAGATTCAGCATCGGCGGGAGAGATCGCTGTGGGCCCCCCACAAAAAGGATGGGAAGATCCGCCGCCGCCGTCATCAGCTGGACAGGTTAATAATAATGTCGAAGGATCCACATTCTGAACCGAATATTTGGCGATTTCAGACAGCATCTCTTGGATCACCGCTAGATACGTCGTTGACGACGACGACGATCCTTCTTCTTGATAATGATCGGTCGGAGCAGTGAGAGTAAGGGACAGCTGGCTGCTTCTTCCCGTAGTATATCTTGACGGCGAACCTCCGCCGCGTCCGCCGCCGCCGGGAGTGCCATAGCTAATATCACGACCGCTTGAAGCATTCTGGTTGAAATCCCATTTCCTGCTGCTCATCATTTCCACCGGATACCCGCTGAATGGGTTGAAAACAGAGCATGGAGAATAGTCGGAGGTGAAAGAAGGCCGGTGGTTTTGAAGAAGAAACTCATTCTCGTGAAATTGATCAACTCTGTTATGGTTGATCGGAATCGAACTTCCGGCAACATTTCCGTCCATCCTTTGGTTTTCGGCGCTCCAATTCACACTTCCAAAGTTTGTGGCCACCCAATTATTATAGTGTTCGTCTCCAGCCATCTCATTCCGGTCTACCATCCCTTCTTTACTCCAATTATTTTGACCTTTTCATAATTCAAAAAACAAAGCACTATAAATGATTTTCACCTTAATTCTGTATCATATACTCTGTATATGTACTGCAAAAAAGTAAAGAGTATATAGGGAGGAAGATCCTTTTGCTATAAAAAAAATTACTACTGTGCTTGAATCTTTATGAGGATATGGGGATCAATTTCAATGATAAACTCCAAGCTCATGTGATAATCAAATTAGGCATAACAAAAGAAATTATGGAATTAGGGGATTGACCAAACCTTAAACTTTCCTTCAATTCTGATGGAATGATGGATATATAATAACCTTTGCAAGATAATTTATGGTGTTTTCTTGGTTTGTTGAGCATATGTGAGTTACATATCATACCAACTTTGCTACATATGCCAAAAGCAGCTAATGCAGTGAATTCGAAACAAACCGTAGTGTGTTTCCCTTTCTTTCCTTATAGTGCAAACTAAAAAACCAGGAAATAATGACTCCAAGAAGTTCCCTCCCTTACACCCCCATCCCTTGTAAGATTTATAAGAATCTACACACCATAGCTCTCCTAGTAGAAAAAGAGTGTCACAGAAGAGATATACCAAGTTCAACTTTAAGTAATGATTCAGAATGAAACTGTACTCTCTTCAGATCAAATCTCAACTTACATTCTTCTGATAACTGTCTGGTCAGTTCACACTTCCTCTGAGATATGATGTCATATGTTTTTTATAAGAAAAAAACATATTATAAGTAAAGAAAAAAACAGTTCACAATTAATGTAATGGGCAGGAATAATTTTACATGTTATCCCTTTTATTAACCAACTCTTTAGCAAATATGTACGGAGTAGTTTTTAATTTAACGCACTGGATTGAGTAATAATAAAAAATAAGTAAGATAAAAATTACTTTTCATTAATGTATTCATATTATTTTGCATTTTTTGTTTCACCTTAATGACTTGTCTTACGCGTAGCTTAACCGGTTGATAGGGAATCTTAATAAGGGATAGACATGGGTTTGATCCGTAACAATTACTCCATACATTATAGGGCAATCTTGCTTAGAACAGGTCCCAAATGTATAAGGAGATTTTACTCTCTTTATATGGTGCATCCATTTTTGTAAGCTCATCACACCCTCTAATAAGTCACATATCTTATTGTTATAGTTACTTAGACTAGACATCTATTAATCTTTCACTTAGCTTTTTGTACTTTAATTACATATATGGGCTTGGTTTCCCAACCATAGTTCTAACATGACTATAAATAATTTGGGAATATGATTTACAAAAACGTACGCAACATCCCTGCAGGGCTGAGTATGTGATAAAGGCAACCCTTCTACGTTTTGTGTATTTTTCTACAAATAGAAAGTTCAGTTTATAAACTCAATTAGTGCATGTACCGTGTGTGTGGTATCAGTATATATATTTACTTATTCTAAAGAGAAGAATTAAACCCCAGCACCAACCTCAAGAGAGTAATAGCCAGTGCAAAAAAGTAAGGTTTTTTCTTGCATGATGAAGCAAAAGTGAGATCTTATTCAGATCCCATAAACCAAGAAACTGGGGAAAATTTCAGACCCTTATGAAGGAGAATCATGATTTAGTAGAAGCACTAGACTTGCACCCCTACCCCACTCTCTCTCCAAGTACAGAGTATCTGTTGAGTCATTAACTGCGCGTGATGCATGGTAAAACCCCAAGGGCAATTGTGTTTTAAGGATCCAAATCCTCGGTTATGAAGGCCAAATATGTACGTTTAATCAAAAGATATGTAGTACGACGTAGTAGGAGAGAAAAACCAACCACATACATAGCGATGGTATGCGTGCAAAGGATAACGCTTTTTTTCATTATACTACTTCGTCTCGCTCTATATTATTTTCAAATTTTCTTTTTTCGTCCGTCTCAAATATATTTTCTCTTTTCTTTTTTAGTAAAGAATTTGTGTTTCACAATTATTCTTACACATTTTTCTCTCCTCTGCAAAACTCTCCACCACACAATTCCTACTATCTTAATTAGTTTGCCCGGTCAAAACATGAATTTTATTAAGGACGGAAGGAGTACTACTTTGTGTACATTTTACAGAGTATTATAAAAACAACTGATTTGAAAAGTATTTTCAATAGTATGTACTAGATTATTTAATACTACGTATACCAATATTTAAAATTACCTAGCAAAAAATAGTAAGTTTATTTTCATAATAAAAGAGTTTTAAACAAACGATCAATCCGACTTAGGGTATGTTTGGCACAACTAGATGAAAAGATACTTTTGTAAGCTTTTTAGTAACTGTTAGCTTTTAGTGACCGAAAAGATCTTCAAAGAAAAAGGTGGTAACTTTTTGGTAAAAAGCTGACTGTTTGATTTAGTTCTGTTTGGTATACAAGCTGTTAAGACTAATTAATACTAAAAGACACGGACTTTTCTCGGATGTTACTTCATGTAGCATCTCAAAAAAGATTTTTTATTTTTTGAAAAGCTCTTAAAGTTTGTCATGTCAAACATATAACTAAAAGTTTTTAAAGATTTTTTAACTAGTACATGCAGGTCGAACCACTGAAAAAATTTCTAGATCAAGACATGTATTTTTAAGTCATTTCTAGCACAAAAAGATTTTTTTACGATCACATGTAAAAAACAAATCAAAATAGAGTTTTGACTACTCATTTTTTTTGGACAAAGTTTGAACTACTCATCTTAAGAGTCCGTTTGGTAGCATGAAAATCGGCTGATTTGGCTGATTCTGCTGAAATTTATGAAGTTCTGGCTGAAGTGGCTGCATCGGTTGATTCTGCTGATTTAAGAAAAAAAAATTGTAAAATATATTTTATTAATAAAATAAGGAAAAAATTATATGTAAAAATAGCTAAAATGATCGTCTACAGTAACTTCAGTCAATATAGTCAGAAAAGTAACTTCAACCTTACTTTTTCTGCTTATTACACAATTCAGCGCACGGAAGCAAAAGTTATGTGTTTGGTGAAAAAGTTGGCCGATAAGCCTGCTAAGCCGAAAAACAGTACTCCCTTTGTCCCTAAATGTTCTTCCGAATGAAAGTGACACGGTGATTAAGAAATTGGGAATTGTGTGGTGGAGAGTTGTGCAGAGGAGAGAGAAATGCTGTTAATCACAAATTCTTTGCCAAAAAGGGAAGTGAAGTTCTTTTTGGGACGGATGAAAAGAGATAGTTGGAAGTAAATTTAGGGACGGAGGGAGTATTACCAAACGGCCTCTAAATGTTCAAATTTTAGGAATAAATTGTACTCAATCTGTATCTATTTAATTGACACACTTTTCGTTTTTGGTGTATCAAATTAATTGTTTTCTTTTTTTAAAGAATCTCACTCATAAAGCAGCTACAGTACCACTACAGTATCAAAAACTTCTTACTTTTTATAAAATCTACGGTAACTAGCTTTCAAGCCCGTGCGACGCACGGGCAGTATGTAATTTAGCTAATTTGAAATTTAATTTCTATCGGATCACATATAATGTGATTTAAAAGAAAAATAAACTTAGTCTAATATAGAGTCTGTTTGATAATACTAAAGTAAATAGAATTAACTTATTTTGCTGAAAATGATTGAATCCTGGTTAAATAGGTGGAATCTTCTGAATCATGAAACATATATGTGAAATATATTTCATTTGTGAAACAAAGAAAAAAAAGTTAAATAGGTCTTCTACATAAGCATCTCAAGTAAACATAATTGTTATGAACCCAATAATAAAAAAAGTCTATATTTCTTAATTGTTAGATCTTACAGTTTACTCATTAATAATGATGGATAGTGTACCCGGGGGGTAACTTATCCGAGGGGTTATTGCGAGAATAACTTAGAGAGAAGTCAGTGCAAATAAGTAAGAGAGAGAGTGTATATTCGATATGAATTCAGCGTGTTTTACAATGCAGAAATGGGCTGCTATTTATAGCAGCAATAAATGCTAGATAAGGACACGTGTCAACAATCTGGTGGTCTAGGAGTCACCTCAATCGGGGTGGCACTGGCATTTGCATGTAGCCGCATTAAATTCGGTGGTTGGATGCGATGTTTGTACTTGGTACGGTGATTCAGGCGCACGTGGAGAGGATATTCTGTCGAGGGAAGTGCCTTCGGCTGAAGGGTGTTGGCCGAAGGCTCTTCTAACCGGGGGCATCCGAATACCGACGGGTTGTTGATGCTGAAGGCCTGGTTTTCAAGCCTTGTTCTCCTGTGATGTTTCTGAGCCCAACTCTGTCAACGGTAGCCTTCGGTCGTAGGGCCGAAGGCACCCCCTTGCGTACTGTGGGTTGTTCAGAGCTTTATTTTACTGGGCTTGGCCCGTTTTGGGCCTGTTGGGCCTGATTGCAGTTGTGGGATTATGTGGGTCGGGGTCCCTGGACCATATACTCCATCAGGAGTCCCTCACTCCTTTTGCCGAAAGGTACTTGAGGGAAAAGGAGTAATTTGCGTTTGTCCTCTGGTGTTGGCGTTTGTAATTTGTAATTTGCAAAGTAGTGGGGGTTTTGTGTTGTGTGTTTTGCCGGGGGCAGTTCCTCTTTCCTTGAGGATCATGTTGATAAGATTTTAACATTTCGTGATTTTCCCGAGGGGCTTCTCCGGAGTCCCTCACTCCTTTTGCCGAAAGGTACTTGAGGGAAAAAGAGTAGAACAGTGCCTGTCTTCAGTACATGACCGAGGACTGACGCTTTTCGTTTCATTTGGAGGGGATGCCTCGTTAAAAACCTCATTAGGAAAAACCGTGTGGGAAAAAATCCTAATGAGGGAAAAAGAGTGCACCGAATTCCCCCAATGATGAATAAAAAAGGCGAGCCCTTGGTTTGAGATGAAGAGTAACGTTAACGCCGAGAGCTATCCGTGACCCGGGGGCTTTCTTTTTTATTGGCCGGAGGCACCTTGAGGATATTCCGGGAATGCCGAGGGGAGTCCCCCAGCCATTGAGGGCTGAGGGTGTGAGGAATGCAAATGTTTGTTCCTGCGTTGCCGAGGGGTTCCCTAGTGAGGGGGGTTTACTCCTTGATGAGGGAGTTTGAATGTGTGATCTGAGGGATGAACATGTTCGTTGTTTTGCCCGAAGGGTGCCAGCTGAAGGCATAGTCGTGAGGTGGCCATTTGAAATATAGCCATTTGGGATATAGCCGTTGGAGATATGACCGTTGGAATATGACCGTTGTAGGTGGGGTCTACGTGGCGTGTTCCTGTTGGCTGCTTGCGGGCGGGGTTCACCGGTTGGCTGAAGCGGCGGCGTGTAATCAGGGGCGGAGCCAGGACACTGGGCCGGACTGGGCCGGTACAAAGAATATTTTTAGAAAAACATTTACACGAAATTTTTTACCTTAAAAATTAAGTCATTTTTAAAATTTGGGGTGGGTCATGGCCTAGGTTGGCCAACCCCTAGCTCCGCCCATGCGTGTAATGATGATTCTTGTAATTGGGAGCCCGGTTTTCGGCCCAGGCCCGGAGTGGGGGGCCTATAAATACCCTTTGGCCGG